TGCATAATTTGGCATCGGGTAGTGATTTTGCGCAAATGTCTTTTTTGCGTCCGAGCCAAGGGCAATAAATCACGCAAGAACACAAACATTTATAAACACGAGAAAACGACATATTAACCCATTTACTCGGTTATTTTTCATTAAACGGGGTGGGAGGATAAGAAAAAAAATAGCCAACCATAATTATCATTCAATTACTTATAAAAACGTGTAATAAATAATATTTCATTGTGCACGGGACAATAATAATGTAATATATTAAAGATATTTTTCAAATGACGTAATTGTCGAGAAAGTAACACACATAGTATTCACGTATAATGTATTATTATGTGCTCATTTTACGGATTTTTCATTTTATATTACAATAAATAGAGCACATGAATGCCAATCGATTTAATTGCGGTCGTCCGCGGGAACGACGGAATGTTGGTAGTAAAAAAAAAAAAAAAAAAAGGAAAGGACTATATTATCATCACCAGGGCTCAGAACTTAATCCACTAAAAAACAATAATATCTGTACTATATGAATATGCACTCAAAAAATCTTGAATTTACTGTTTTTTTTTTTTTATAAAATATGATTTTATTTAAGAATAAACTTTGAAAAATAGAACAGTATGCAAAAATGCAAAAATATGTATTATATTTTTTTAATATTATTAAAACACAATATTTATTTTTTGACTATAGGCACTTAAAATATCAGTATCAAATTTATTAAGTACCATTCAAAATATCTATAGTCATATGAATGCGTAAAAGCTTTTTATTTTTGAATTTGATTTAGTTTATGTTTAAAATTGTCTAATTAAATATGCAAAATCACTTAATTCTGGTAAAATATGCAAAAATATGCAGTATACATTTTTGGATTCGAGCTTTAAGTATTTTAAAATAAATTTTTGTCAAATTAGATTTTGAATATGCAACTAAGAAATATGTAAATCGGCCTAGTTCAAAGTCCTGATTATGACATATTATGCGAACAAATAATACACGTATAATATTAGATTTGTGCGCCCTGCGACTATTTTCGATGTGATCTCATTAGGTATGAATAAGTAATATACTCGTACACAATTCATATTTAAATAGTTTAATCATAATAACCAAAAACCAAAAACATAAATCTTAACACCGACGATCTCGTTTATAATTGTACGTTTAAGTAAAGAAACGTGTGGGAGTTGAACTTGGATATGCGAGGTGTCATATTTTTATCATAATTATTGTCTTGCACATAATGTTATGCCTGTTGCTGAATATGGTGGAAAATATAGCAATACATACGAATTTTTGCTTTTCGAAAAATTCAGTGTAATTTAAAATATATCATTACACTATTGCTGTTGTGTGTTTGTTCTGCATATCCACGTCGGCGGGGACAATTTTAACTACCTACTATCGGTACGACGAAAAACACATTAAAATAATGCCAAGTAAATACTAAATAATATAAACAAATATAAACACACACACACACTTATATACATATGTGTTTATATGCGTACGCAATTAAATGTGAATCGTTTAGTCCTCGACCAGTTTTCAATGTAATCGTCTGTATAGTAGAATATAATATTATGTATGTATATATGATGCGTATAATATCATTATATAAGTATACGAGTACGTTTTTAATAGTACCAAACAATAGGCTATACTCCTGGAAAACGCGCCACACTTTATTACCTAATAAAAATGTATATATATATATATATATATATATATTACATATAAAAAACATGTTTAGCATTTTTCATTAAAACTTTTTCCGTTTGGTTTATACCTTCTAAGATTTTACGACTTTTAACCCGATATAATACCCATGTTTTAGTAATAATTAGGGTGACGATTTTTTTTCATTCCATAATGGCCGTACTCCATAATATTTTTAAGATAATATAATATTATATTATTTAAACGAACCGTTTCACGTGATTTTTATTTTTAGTTTTTCCCAACCGTAATATTTTGCTTACCTGCTATAATGGTTCTTTTTTTATTTGTGAACCATCATAATATTGTTGCGCAAACGTCCAGCTCACGGTGTACTATATGCGGAATGTAGAACGTTAAAACCACAAAAACGAAAATAAAAATTAATAATTAATATGATATTGCAGTGTGTTCTACAGTGCTTCGATTTACATGTGGAAAAATAATCATCACAGTCTGTTCAATTTTGTAAAAATAAGAGGTTTACGAATACGCGCGTTAATCCGATTAATAGATCTTTATATTATATAAGCATATACGAATCTTTTCTTTTCCTTCAAAATAATCATTACCACTAATAATACGGAGAAAATTGTTTACTTACGCATCAGTACCTTTCAATCTTTCTTAGCTCTTGTACACAGCTGTATACTTTAAGCCGATTCGAATCTCTTTCTATATATGCACTTTAATCAATACTGCTTGGGGAGCGTTCCTCCTCGACACCCCCTCGCCATCATCACCATCTCCGCCGCCATCTTCGCCCATTAGAGCGATTTAATTGCCTCTGACGGTGGGTTATTTATTTATATAAAACATTCGGCAGGGGAGTATAGAGTATTATGGGGAAGAATATTTACATATATTTCCCGTGCATCACACGATAAATATTATGCCGTAATAGTTTTAAAAAGTTAAATTAAACTACGCGAGTGTTTTTTAAGTCGTTCGTTAGTTTCACAGAAAGTTTAAAATAATCCTTTTATAAATTGAAAGAATAAAAAGTTTAGGTCGTATACTGAATTATAATAAAGCGAAGAAGTGAACGCGGAGAATTACGTTATCGCATTACTTTTGAGGTGCACGCATTTGATTTAAATTTTTAGTTCAAGTGTAAAAAAAAAAAAAATAATAAATACCCAATAGAAAAAAAATCACTGTCCGGTCACCTTCGATTAAATTTTTTTCGATGCTATTAACATCGTTATGTCCCATCGTCTGTCCAGGGAGGATATAAGCTATATATGTATAATACACCTATATGACATTTCTGCAGCGGTGAATTTAATAAACGGTCGATCGGTACGTCATCAATTACGAGCGGTATGATATTAATTCTTAACCTTGTGTTTTCCAAATAAGAATAATACACGTCTGGGGTGGAGCATTTTTTTTTTTTTTAAGGGTAATGGCTATATGTGGAAGATGAGGAGGACGAAGTGTATGAGAGATATAGACGGATATAGTGTGTGAGAGAGTTGAAAAAAGAGAGAGAAAGAGAGAGATAGATGAGTAGTCGGTTCTTTATTGTTCGGTATAAAATAAATAAATTGAAAGCGGCGGCGGCAGATCGCAGACAATGAGGTCGGGTAATAAACGAGACAATTGTAAATAAAAGAAAAATAATATATATAAATGGTGGTATTTACAACAGCAGAGCTTATTTGACATTTACTTGACGTGGAAAACTAGTTTTCGTGTTTGCTTTTGTCCGGGGCGCGTGTTTGCGCCGTTTACCCCTGTCCGTCGCCAATCTACTGTTTGCAGGAGACGTCGCGGGGCGGACGTTGTGGTGTAGTAGTTTGGGTGGTCCTCCGCCACAGTAACCGAAGGACGGACGTCACGGACAATATTATTATCACTATAATTAACCGAAATTTAATAACAGTTACGCTTTTCAGCAATGTATCTATAACACGATTGTCGAAATACCGATAAATAATATTAGCATAATAAATTTTATTATATTAATACAATTTTTGATTGGATCGGAACTATATAATTTCTTCGCCAGCACCCAGCTATCCTTTTTCAAATCTTTAAGTAATTTACTCGATAGGTATATTCTTTAGTGTTCATCATAATAACATGTTTATCTATAGATATGATAAACAATAAATGTGTACAATATAAAGTTTACGTAGTTGTCGGGGTCGCTAAACATTTTTTTTTCGATAATTGAACTTACCAAAATTGAATTATGTGTAATACTGTCACTATTTCAGAAGTGACGTAATGCGCTTTAATGAATATAATACAATAATTACTTTGTATTGATTATCATACAAACGTATTCTTTTGTTCCGAACGAAAAAAAAGTTTTCATTTTTTTTTTTTAAAACAATATTTAATAAGGTACTACGGACAATGCAATCAATAACACAACCCTAAATTAATGTTTTTTTTTTTCGTGTATACGATTCATTAGGTGCACCTAGTATCTACCCTTTACGCGTGAAGGCGTAACGTCCCACAGTGATATATACACGTCCGTACTTACATTTCAATATTACAATTATTTATTGGCTTCGCATTAATTAGATGTACATTGTTCGGTACGCCTCTAATTATAATAGTATATATTATTATAGGTACAGTCATTTTCTTCTGCACAGGTTTTGATTTATTACCAGTATAAATCATTAAACCGTATACGATGGTACCGGGTTTCGTATTTCGACAGTGATTCTCAACATAATATAATAGTATATTATGCTTAAAATATTAATGTAATGTCGTACGACAAATTCAAGCGATATTCCACGCTATTCACTTATTCATTAGGTTAGGTTAGCATAATCGTACAGGGTCGATATCGATGAACGGTTTCCGATAGTAATTTATAATTATTATTATTTAATATTTAATATTAAATTGTCATTATACCGTATTCGCGTGTAAAGTTTGAATTTTGTAAACACTGACGAGAGGACATTTCCGGGATATGAACTGTTGCAATAGTGATAGAGTTGGGGGAGCTGTTGTTCAGTAATAAGAAGATAAAAAATCCAATAGGTTTGTAAAATACGCGTTTTCTGGTGAGCAACGTCACACACGATGAGAACCATTGCTCAGACATGTTGTCGACTGCTGCTGCAGCAGTTGCTCTCCGAGTAATTATTATTATAACGTTCCGTTATTCCGCGCTCCCTTCGGTAAAAATCGTGAGTTAATCTACGGTTTTTGGTTGTGACTATACACTGAATTGATATTAATATATTATATTATTATACAAAGATAATATTCTAAACGTTTTTTCATTTTATTTTTTTTTTCAGAGGACCGACAACTTGGACTTGTCTCTTTCGGTCGCCCACAACATGCACAACAACAACAACAACAACAACAACCATTACACAAGCATGGCCGAACACGTGAGTCTCCTTTTGTATACGATAGGTACATATTATTTTCATTCGTGGCTCGGTTAAACTTATAAGTGATTAAAAGGATGGTTTAATAACACAACGGTACTCGGTATTTTATCGAAATAAGCATATATATTTTTTTTTTTTTTTACAATTATTAGTGTTTTTAATATTATATTTCAGTTGTATAAAACAATAGCAAAGCCATGTTTAATGCTGAGTTGACAATATTTATGTCACGCCTTACGTTTATATTATTATTGAATTGTGAAATAATATTGTTTGAAACTATTTTGACGTTTGAGTATTTTTAACGATAAAATCGGACGATTTATTCGACGACGATATTTTATATTTATTATCGTATATTAATGCGTGACGTGCTCACTAGAGTCTATATTGTTGCCTTAAATTTATTGTGCAGCTGCTGTATCTAAACACAGCAGCGTAGTAGACTTGTTGATGTTTTTGGCATACGAAAGAAGAAGAAGAATATGACGATGCAATCTGTTTTTGGGGGAAGAACGGATGGTTGCAGAACAGAGTGCGTCTGTAGCGTCGAGGTAGTTTTACCTGTCGTGTTGTAGTTGTATTTGAACTTGTGTGTGTGTATGTGTGTTTATGTATAGACTGGACTACAAAGAAAAGTCATAAATTTTAATGGAATGCTTAATAAAATGGCTGAAGAAGAAGGGAAAAAAGTGTTACCATGGTTAGGTGCCTGGAGAATGTAGATCGGGGTGAGGAGTAGGCAGAGTAGAGAGATGGTTATAGAGAGAGAGAGAGAGGGAAATAGAGAGAGAGAGATATTTGTTGAATTATTCAATAAATATGAGGCCATTGTATGCTTATTTTTCAGTCTTCTCATAAATTTATCAATGCATCTTTCGCAATTTGTATGGTTTTTATGAAAAAAAAAAAAAAATGTATATATAATTGGCGAACCAGTTTCTTGTAAAAAATATTTGAAAAGAAACGAAAACAAATGAATAAATATTGTTCATTGTAATAATATAAAAACTGAAATTAGCCATTATTATTAATATTACCATTATTGGTTTTATCCCCCTTCGACGTGATGCATATAGTCGTGTTTTTGAAACGCCTTTCTGATATACTGCTGGCACAGTGTGATTAATCGTTTTGCTTTTTGGAACATTACTGCCGAATGAATGTCTTACAGGTTAAGTAATATTTCAAATATTGTTATGTTTTTACGAAATCCTTATCCGTATTTTTTTAAATATCTTTCATGCACTACACACACCATGATAATTAGGATACAAAGAGGCCAGACGGACCGACGTATAACAGCTGGCCATGGAATGTAATTCATTATACTCATATATTTATTTATATATATATATATATATATATATATACATATATCTTTACACCCCTTGTCCTTCTCCCACCACTCACAGCACTTATCGTTTTTTTTTTACTATACACGTTTCTACTTTATTTAAATAAATGCACTAGTACCTAATATTCCGAGAAAACACTTTAAACCAGCCCACTAAGATAATAAAATATGTAACAATTTTCTATCGTACGTTCACCGCTGCACAGTTCAAGATAAATATGATTTTATTTATTCAACAATTGCGCGAAGAATAAACAACTCGTTTATCTCTGTAGAACCATTAATCCTGCTGAACGTTATCTGTATGTGAATGCCAGAGAGTCAGGACACAAAGTAAATTGAAAAAAGAAAGAAAACAAATTCAACACACGGCACAACAGGTGCGACAATTAGTATTCTTGACATTAATTATGAGTTATAACTATAACAATTACTACATCATAGTTGTTTCACCGCCTTATTTTATTTTTATGTATATTGTTTTAAAATGATTGTCAATTAGATTTTTATTTTATTAGTCATTGGTTATTATTACTATTTTTAAATATTTTTAATGTATCGCAATTATTGTCAATATTTAAAATTCATGTTAAGTGAATCTTTTAGAATTTTAAATGTAGTTTGTAAGATCTTATTATAAATAATTGTATTATATTAGTTAGTAGGTATATTCAATTCACAGCTTTAATCATCGTGCTATTACTAAAATATAGTCAATAACTTTTTCTCATGGCCAATATATACGTATATAAAATACTGCACCGTCGACGGACTGACAGAAATACAAGGATTTCGGGCAGGCCGTGCCGAGTATTAAAGTTGTATTACTTTACGTCTGCAGCGCACTACGCATAACGTCGAAGCAATGAAATGTGACAACGGATACCCGTAATACCGGAAGGAGACGCCTGTGCACCAATAGGATTTGGTTAAGTCTACCACGGTTACGATTTATAGGTAGATAATTTGGTAGCGATAAAACCACAAAAATATATTATGCTTATAAATAAAGTGACTGTCAAGATTTGTATCGAGCAAACCCTTCTTAAATAGATTGTTAAACAAGATTTTTTTTCTCGTTTTAAGTAGTTTATGCTTTGAAAAATATACAGTGAACCAGCACAAAAGTATTTTCAATAGATATTATATCTCTAATATTTCAATATCGAAAATGAAAACCAGTTTTTTCATCTTGTTCGCCGACATTTTGATGCTCCAAGTCGTTTTATTTTTTATTTTTACGAGCCTTGAGAGCAATAAAATATTCTAGTTAATTCTACATGTTATCACTGAACACAGCTGTAAAACCAAAAGTAAGAACAAAACTTCATATTACCTATTCGAAAACACACAATTTTATCTAAGCTGATGCAATCCTACTGTAAATGCTATAAATGAAGTCACCTAAATAAATATAATTTAATATGTTCATTAAATTACTTGATAGAAATAACCAACCAATGAGTACCTACGTATAGATTTGTTTTATACTTAATCAATATTGAACAATAGTTAGAACAAACAATTATAACCTCTTAAATAATCACGACGTTTGTGTTTAATATTTGTATTTGTTTAAATGCTTAAGGTAATAAAATATTTATTATTTTATTTATCGTTGGCAGGACGGATTGTTGATTTTACCTAACAAAACTATTGACCTTGATTCAAGGAAATAAAATTACGTTTTAAACTGATGAAATATTAGAATATTTTGCTTACAAACAGTATTTATCAAAAAGGTTATCAAGTATCACATTATTCCCATGTAATTTGTTTTTAAATTTTTTATTTCAAGCGTTTTTACTTAACAGCTTTAATTAAAAAAAAAAAAAAAAAACAATATATTTTTTTCTTATAAATTATTCACGATTTCGTATTAACGTAAATTATTGTTAAATAATTCGCATGGCAATTAATTAGGAGTTATGCATAATGAAGGTTTTTCCAATATTTATTTTACAATAATAATTGTTTTCCTTCATAATAATTATTTGTTCAATCATTATAAAATATAAACGCACGCGTTTTCGTTGTGTAGTGGTGCTGCGGGGCACTATAAAGACCCAATCGTCACTAAAAAGTATTAATGACCTGAAGTCATTACATAGACTTTTCAATCTCGAATTTGCACTTGCACACACGTGCACATGCGCACACAAGCACTCGTACCGTTTTTCAACATTTCGTCTCGAATATTTGCGGTTGTACGATCATTATTTGTGGTGTGTGATTCTCGTTTAAGAGTGTTTGGTCCGTTTCGAAATAAAATAGATGTACATAAAATTGGTAAAAATAGAAATTAACGAAAAGTAAATATAAATTGAATGTGATCGAATATTGATTCGATTCAATTCAACACATAGGTAACTATTTTATAATACTTTATGCGCGTGTGCGATGGCGATGGTAATAACAACACTCGGAAGTCGGAAACAGTAAGAGAAAATTTGTCTGCCATGTGAACACGCGATCTTGGGGCTTCTCGGCCATATGGAAGATTTATTAAAAATAAAAACTGTATTGATAATAATATTAATGGTGTTTGGTTAATGAATGCGTTTTGTGATCGTGGCCAACGACCTATACGGGTTTCTGTAGCTAACACGGCCGATCGTAGATCATCTCCTACCCGCATGTGATATCATTAAAACAACAAAAATATCAATTTAATTATAATATTATACGTTTACGTTGTTAGATGACATTTGTGAATTGTTTTTTGAGGAAGGGGGTCCTTTGATGAATTTCCAAACACTTAGCAGTCCATCGTGGTATAGCAGTAAAAATTACAATATTCGTATAATATATGCGTACAGTACGGTCTGTCCCGCGTCGAAAGGTTTAGATCCTAAATGAGTATACCTAAAACCAGTAACCGTTGTGTACGTAACTCGGGGTATTCAAAAAGACAGCATGAAGAGATATTTACGACATTTCACATCAGTTCTCACACAATATCACAGTGATTTTGATATACAGTGGACTGTTGGTAGAAAAAAAAGAATTCGATATTATCTCACGTAGCATTTATATTTTAGTCGCGTTCGACCTTGATCCTTCATTAACTCTGACCTGCCAACTGGCTGCTGTAATACAGTGTTTCATTTTACATTATATGTATATGTATAATAAACGACGTGCTTAAACGTTCGTTTGTTGAAAACAATCAAGTACATTTATATCGCCGTGTTAATTGACAATGTTTTTTTTACATTCAAAAAGATTTTTTTTGTTAATTTTTTTAATTAAAAATATGTTTTAAGACGTATGAAAAAAATAGTGGTTTGATTATTTTGTTATGTCAAAATATTATTTATTTATTAAAACCACAAAAAAATAAAAACATGTAAACTGTGAAATTCTAGGTATAAAAATGTTTGTACTTTGTTGAAATAATATTACATATTCGTTTGTTATGTTACGCAAATACAATTTAACAGAAACGCGCGAATAGATACGGTTGAGAAATTCAAGGAGATCATATTTAATATTTCTTTTATGTTCCAAGTTCAAAAATAATTGCATATTTATTATTTATGTATTTTTCTTGCAAAAACATCATTAAATTTTTGTCTTGCGGAAATACAATTTTTTTGAGAAAATGTTAGAAGTTTTGTTAAAAAAGTTTTATAAAGTTACAAATGAAAATAGTGTCCTTTCATGAATATTAACGTTTTTTTTTTTACAAACAATTTTCTTTACAGATAACATATAAACTCAATACCTAATGATTACTCGTAACGATTTTGATTTGAAATAAAAATGCGTTTTATTTTCTATTAGTCTTATTTAATCTACGAAACTTTTATATGGTCTATAAAATGTTAACATTTAAAAATTTATGGTCTTGTCAGGTTAATTTTAGTAAGCTTAAGTACTTTTGAAGAATTTAAATTAATCATTAAAAATTTAGTTGTGCGTCAAAACGATTTAAGTTTACTTGAATAATATTGAATTCACAAATAATAATTCCTATTAAGTTAAGTGTGTTCGTATTAATTAACGAATTATAAAATAGAATTAAAATAATTTTTATTGTTAAATTTTCAATCCAAATAACTAACAAGCCTTGTGGATTATTAAGAAAAATAATTTTAAATTAAATATCAGAAAAATCAATAAAACATCATGGCTTGTTGGCTGAGAGAAAAACAAATTATAGAAGTCGCTTTAAAAATGAATGAGTTCAGGGTTGGCGTAGTAAGGAGGGAAGGGAAGATAATTTAAAACAAACACAGAATTGAGAAAAAGCAAATAGCAATTTAAAACAAAAGGCCATCATGAATAGAAATTTATATTGCCCCGGGGCGCTAATTATTACAAGTAGAAGGTTGAAATAAACTGTTATTGGCTCAGTGGTTACGTTTTTAATATGGTTAATTAAGAAATTGTTTTTGAGCACCCATAAAACGTTTAATATACATATGGTTCACTTCCAAATGAATATGTGTTTTTTTTTTTTTTGAACCACTTGTATCATCCGGAGCAATAATTCAACAACCATGTGAAAAGTTAAAATTTAATTAAATATGATTATTATAAATGCTTATTTCTTTGATTTTTTTTTTTTTTTTTTTGAAGATCGTATTTCTTTTCCGACAGAATTCTGAAAACTTTTTTAAAATAACAATAGAGTAATACAGTTTCACAGTTCAATGCTAAGAGCGTCGGTTTTCAATTAACATTATAATAGCCATCGTTTTAGTCTTTAATGGGTACATACGAGGCCTTACGTTTAAGATACTTACATCATTTGGACGAGTCTTTGAATGCATTCTTATGTCACATTTCGTACTGCAATAATTATAATATGATATAATATCGTTGCCGGAATGCATATTAAAATCAGAACAATTACGCACGATCGAGTTCCCGGTCCCGTGGGTAATTCTATCCCCACCATGACGAAAAATAATGATTTACTTAATAACTGCTCGAAAACACAATGACACGCAACGGGATCCAAAATATTTAGGCACGTTAAATTCGGACGACCCTCATCGGCCACGCAATGACAATAATAAATGAATTATAATAAATAATAATATTAAATGAAAATCAGAAAAATCTTTTGTTCGAATTATTGTATAATAGTTTTTAACGTGTTTTATTTTATTTTTAGACTTTTCACACGCCGAGTTTTGGGGATGAAGGTTTCGACATTCCATCGATGGGCAATCAAGGAAACAATTCGACTACCTCGCCGAGTTGTAACAACGTGTCAAGCCCATCTAATGGATCGGCTGATTCCATAATCACTTCGCACACGCAACCACAACCATCGTCATTGGCGTATCAACATAGCCAAGTAAGTAGTGTCTTAGTTGATGTATATATATTACAGTATAAGAAATGGAGATCAGCAATTATTGAATTTTATTATTTTTATTTGAAAATCTGAAAAATGTCGTATATTTAAGAAAGTGTTTTAAACATTTTTAATCGCATTTTTCTATTTTTTTAAATACTATTGATTTTAAAGAATACATTTTTAAATTTATGATTAAACAGAGATAAGAATTTTAAAATTATTTTTATTTTTATTTTTTTTTTTTTTTTTTTTGTTGTAATAATATGATATTCCAAACACAAATGAGTAACTCAAATCTTGATGTAGAATTTTCAGCATTCCAACAACTCAAACATTTATTAGTAGTCTTTGTATATTGGACTTATTAATTTTTAGATCATTTTATTTTTTACAATTTCGATAACGACAACCGTGATAGATTTATCACAATATTTTACATTATATTTAAAGAATTTTTATTGCTTGTAAATGCAATGAGATATAAGTTATAATCAAGTATAACATTATTTTATTACTCTTAGTTCTTACTGTCAATAATTTCCGTCGTAGATTGACAACCATCTATACTGACTGTAAACAGCTTCATATGATATTATATTCTATAATACGACTATACGTTTAATAAGTAATAAGTAAAACTGTTATTATCAATATTACCAATTAGTTGATTTGGACTATAGGAGATTCGTTGTCATTGCGTTGGGTGCGCCCATTAACATAGAGGAAGTATATTAGAAGTATTTACTATATCTAGCGTTCATGGGTGCGCTAAATGCCGCGGCCGATCCGATCGATCGAACTCCGAAAATAAAAATATTTTATCATTTCCATTAGTGATAAAATATACAAATACACAATATACACAATATACACAGTTCGTATTTTATTATTCGATCGTGATTTTTTTTTTAATTATTAATATAATTGTAATCGTGATTTATATGAGTACTAATTGTGTTTTTATTAAATTTCGTCATTTGGTGGAAATTTTTCTTTGATAAATGCTTGTATTTATTATCTCTGTCCTTTGGTTTTCTTTTAAATGGACGGTCTGCGATGATGTATGTTAACACATTAATACTACGATTTTTTCTCTTTATGTCACTCCCAATATTTATGAGGCAAATCGTTTTTTTTTTTTTAACTGTTTCTTTATTTATAGTGTTATATGACCGAAGGCTAATGTTTTGACACAAGATTCATAATTTCCTATGAAAAAAAATTAAAATAACAATAGCGATAAATCTTTTTGAATGTTATTATTATGATGGAATAATATTCTAAATTGCCTTTTTTATGTACAAATAATAACGGATGAATAAAATCGATTTAAAAAATAAATTAACGTTCGTTTTAAGTATTTCAACATTGATATAATCAATTGAAACTTACGTTTTTAAATTAATGTTTTTGTATATAATATATATCTTGGAATTTAGTCTTAAATATATATATATATACATATATTATATTATATGTAATAAATATGTTTTATGGCTTTTTACTGTCTTTTACTAAAAACATTTTAAATTTTATATGCAACAATGACATTGATGTTGGCATAGCACTCAATAATCATAATTTATTATATTATAAATATTTTAAAGAAATTCGTTTTAATTTTATTGTTTTGGATTTTATTTGTTTAAATTTTATTTTAGCTACCCCTCAAGGTGTTTTGAATATTTTTGGTAACAAAAAAAAAAATAAAGTTCTAATAACAATAATAATAATAATAATATGATTGTTCTAAGTACACGAAAAAATAAAACAATAATCATGATGATGAAAACAGTCTTAAATAATATTTATAATTAGGTATTTGCTTAACGAAATTCAAAACAAAAACGAACAAATTTAACAAAATATAATTTGAATTCATAATTGTTGTCATTGTTTTGTTACTTTGTTACTTACGTTAAACTATAGATTGAAGATGATGGAAATAATACAATATAATATTTTTTTGTCTTTTAGCAGATGATGAATCACCATCACCCACAGGACACAGGCATGCAGGGAATGAACTCGCACAACTCACACCATTCGCATCAATCGGCTTACCAACAGCCATTATACTTGACCGGCCACGAACACGGCTTGGGACTGAACGTTAGGTATGTGGTTTTAAACTGATTAAACAACGGTCTCGATTACTTTTTTTTTAAAATATATTTTTACAGACGCAATGGTGTATTCTTTTTAGTATACCTAGTTTATATTTATATTTTCTCTTTGGTTTAGATTATCGCAATACCTATAGTTAGTTTTTTTTTAAAAACATTCATCTATATAAATATTATAAATCAACACGTTTTAAATGTTTTATGATCACGATATACATTTTTCTATTGATTTTCGTCTCACTGTATAGGTGTTTTATATCATGTATATTTTATAGATATAGTCGACTTCTTCGGACTATGTATATATGTACAGTAACACACTTAACGCAGTTTCAAAGGCGTTTCGTGACCACTTAACCGGCTTGAGTTAGTAACACAACACTAATCTCCGATAACACATTTCAAGTGCGAATCTACCTCGTGTTCGGTATTCGTTACAGGGACAGCACAATACGTGTACAAATAATATGTTAGATATTTAATTGCCATTGTTGCAACGATTTGGAGGCGGACGGCACAATTCGGTTGAATGCTGTCGGAATAACTTTTGTTGCCTTTACTATACATACATTAAACAAGAACATCATTTGGTTAAACTGTCACACAAGTTTCTCTACTTTTATTTAATTTAGTTAAAATTTATTATGTCGACAGTTAATATTTAGTCATTATTTTTAACTCGTATTTAAACAAGAGTTACGCGATGAATATAGTACAAACAAATTACGTAACTCTGTGCCCGAGTTCAAGAAACATTATTAATTCAAAACATTCAAACACAAATAACACAGCGTTCGTTAATTGAATTCACCGCGACGTCATTTTAATGTAGACGAATCTATAAGATATAATTTATTGAATGCAATTAAAACTCGATGTGTATAAATGTATGTATAATATATTAATAGTACTAGTAATATACTCGTATTCATTATAGCCGTTTTAGTATTTAGTGAAATATTAATAAATTCTTGCTAATAATCAATTTAGTAATTAAAAACTGATCAATGAATAACGAGCGGTTCTTTAATCAATGTTATATTCGGGTCGAAGAGAGACGGAAGTAAAACTTTCTCCAGAATGTACTTAGAGTTTTCGGGTTAAATACGGGTAATGATTTTATCCTTAGATTAGAATTATGTTTGGACAGTGGTTTTAAATTAGAATTTCTAAAAAATCTAACGATTTTTATCTATAAAATTAATGTATTCTGTCGTGTAAATGTACAGTTAATGTGGATTGTTATTTTGAAGTACACTTTAAATTATTTTTTACGTAAGCCACAAACATTAATTCAGTAGAAAATATGATGAAATTAGAATAAATTAATTCAATTTTTGAGCTCTTGTCCAAAACAAAAACAAGAACAGGTTATTTCTCAATGATTACGTTTTACCAACACAAACTTATGTTTAAATCCTCTTTGATGGGGCTTTTGTAATATTTTTATGACGATATACTGCATTTCAGTACCATCGAATTAACTAATTTTTTGTATTTATTACAGTTCCAGTTACTCTCAACCAAGTTACACTCCGTTGAACAACACAAATAACACAAACGGTGCACAAAATGGCATGATGTACCACCGACACCACCAAGCGGCCAACCAACAACAGCAGCACCATCAAGCGACTAATCAACAACAGCAGCAACAGCAGCAGCAGCAGCAACAGCAACAGCAACAGCAACAACAACAGCAGCAGCAACAGCAACAACAACAGCAACAACAACAGCAACAGCAGCAGCAACAGCAACAACAACAACAACAGCAACATCATCATCAACAGCAACAGCACCCACCCACCCACATGCCACAACCCACCCATCTACCCGCGCATCATTACACCAACATGGGACCACCGGCCACTAGTCCACTGACCCCTTCACTGGACATGCACCGACACTCCAATCCCACGCCAACGCCGGAAGGTATCAACACTACTAGCGACGACAGCGACGACAGCACACCGCATCAAACTATGGTAAGTCCTAATCTAAACTCACCACCTGGAGAATTGTTTCTTTGCTTGTATGAGAGGGGTAAGGTTTTGAGGAGAGACGATTTTATGAACAAACGTTCACTGAGTTTTCTTAAAGTTCCTAGACACATTATTTAGTACAACCATTTCAACTTCCGATTGTAGAGAACTGTTTAAATCTCTCTCCCTTCCCATTTTATCATCACCGTTTTCCAAATACGATACTGTAAAATGACTACTGTGCTCCGTTTGCCTTGACCTCTGCATGTCATCGTATCTGACAGTGGCTAATTTTTTAAGTTATGTGTAACGATAAATCATCTAAAATGAAATTGTGAATGATTACGTGTCATAATATTCTCAGAAACTGGTTAAAAAAATATAAAATATACTAAAGCAAATTAACTTGAAATATTTTCGTGTGATTATAGGTTCCATTTGAACATTTTAAGCGAATATTCTGTCTTTACGTATGTAGTCCATAACGTTCTAATGATTCAAACCACCCAAACCGGCAATGCACATTCTATGGTTTTTATATTTCATGGCGATCGTAAGCGATTTTTTTTTCAGTCGTGGTGAAGAGATTCATGGCCCGGGATCTAGATAGTGTAATTTAACTTCCAATTGTTATTTTTTTTCTCCGTTGTTGTTGCTGTTATTCGCAACTTCAATTTCCTGTTTATGTTTTTTGAGTGTTCAAAGTAATCCAATAATGTCATGTAAAGTGAAATAAAAATGGGTAGGTGTTTTGAAGTAAAATTCTAGGCAATTCTGTTTGAATAATGTATGCAATTTTATGCAAAGGGTAGGGTTTATATTGCCTCTAAAAAAATAAATATATACATATATTTCCTTCGCATCCATATTTCATACGGTATTTTCGGGTTAAAAATGTGTTATTATCGTACGATGCTCTCATACATATTTCATGGGACCTGGATAATATATATGTTTCTTAGTTAATATTTATCAAATAATTGAATGCTATTTGCATGGGCTTTAGAAAAAAAAAAGAAAGTAATACAAAAGAAATAAATTACCCGTTTGAAATGTAAGAAATATGAAATAAACAAACGCCGTTCTCTTTGACGTTATAAGAATGTTAATATATTTATTTCGCTGATGAAACGTGTATAAGTGTTTAGGTAAATAGGTAAATTTCTTGGTAGAATTCGTTTCATCTTAATTTATACCAATTTTGTTTTTAGCTTGCAATCAAGAGGGAAAGGTTATCTCCGGAACCATTGGATGGTTGCGGGATTATGAAAATGCAACAAAAGAAGCCGAAACCGACCAAAAAGAAAAAGAAAAGGGATCCCAACGAACCACAAAAGTGAGTACATTAATTGTTGACGGATTGGTTTTGTTCACGCGGGCTTATTAAATTGGACGAAAAAATAAAACTGAAGTCGTAGGCGACGACGAATAATATTCGATCGCGTGTAATAATTATCGTCCGACAGTTTCCGGCGTTGCAGTAATGCAGCATGTACCGTACACGATACATTATAATACTTTCAGCAAAACACACCCTCCTATTTGGCGTGTGTTTTTATCTGTAAACGAAAAGGGAGAGTTTTACAATGTTATGACTTGGATCAATACCCGGTGCAGTCTGTTGCTGTTCGGAAGTTTTCAAACCAAATTCCCTACACCCTTTTTATGCACCCCTCAATATGTGCCTATTCATGGTATTCATTTTAGTTGGCTCTTCCGTGAAAATGCTATTTTGTCGTTGTCGTCACTGAGCCCTACAAAATTAGCTTCATCGGTTTCGAGGAAACATTTTTCACATGAGTATCGCTACTTGGCTGGTCGATTGGGCGTCTTCAGTTTCCCATACGAATCGACGTTTATCGTTTTATAGTGTCTTATTGCTTGTATACTTTAAAGGCATTATTTTTTTATTTAAAGATTTTTTAAGATAAAAAAAAGTTTAGGAATCACTGAAAGAAACACTAATGTACGTGCGCGCGCTCGCAGGCATGTGTGTGTATGTATGTGTACGCGTGTGTGTGTGTGTGTGCAATTGTATTTATTTTTAATGCTACGAAGTTTGTAGTTTGAACAGCTGCGCCATTATATACACACATTTTTAACAGTTTAAAAATAATATGTTTGACCTATCAAGGGTAAATCTTGAAAATAATTACTTTAATTACCAGTAATATGTTCATTTATTTTCATGTTTCTTTTGTGCATTTAATTATTTAATAAATCATTCGATGGAACGTAAAACGTGTATCCTTGTAATGGTGCACAACACTTCATAATAATAATATGTTAATTACACTCTGAACGAACTGTGTTGATCGACGACGTAAATTTAAAGCTCTAAATCAAAAACGGCTTTACGTTTTCTTGAACGGATCAGGTTATTTAAAGAATTTCTGTTGCTCGTTTTAAAACTTGGTCTAAATTACTTATTATTACAATTATTTATCAGTACATAATTGTTTTTTATTATGGAAATATGCAACTTATTCACTTATTTTTATATTATCACGCAATGATATTGCCATCGTGAAAACCATAACGTGTAGGTGTATTATAATTTAAATAGAAGAATAACCTTTTTACGAGAATGCAAAAAATGCGGCTTTACAGCGATGCGTTACAAAACAATAATAATAATACAAATACAAATAGTGCAATAACATCAAGTAGTGGAGTGTATTAGCCTTAGGATCCGAGGACGCTTTGTACCCAATGTTTACGTTGGTCCTTCTACAAGGATCTTTCTTAACTATATACATGCTCGAAACACATGTCCGGGACAGTGGGGGTGAGAATGGAGAGGTCTTTTGTTGAGCTCTCATTAGGAATAATTTATGTTTCGTTTTTCTGTGCTCACCATTGTTGCCGGCAAATGGTCTTCGCGAAGAGCCTCATGTCGTGCTGTTATTTTCCTCTTCTTCTCGTTTGCGCACATACAAAACGACTGTGCGCATTCGTAATAACTTTATATCTCCTCCTATCCATAAAAAAATAACGATAATAAAAAATTACTAGTAACAAAAAATTGGGATTTTTTTGAACAACGGAATAAATTTTATTTACACAATTATTGCAAGAGCATTCGGATGGTACATTATGATACAACAATAGTTTATTTTATTTTATTATCGTATTCTACGGTGAAACGAAATCACGTGGTTATATATTATTGTTGTATCTACACTAAAACATACCTAATGGGAAACCAATAAAATGAGATTTCGTGTCGTGAGCGTATAGCGACTTGGTATACCGACATTTAAGTTTATACACAATACACATAACACTGTATTATAAATTATAATAAGTTAATAACTTAAATTTTTTCTTCTTTTTAATACGATATTATGTTTGAAAGAAATCATAAATTTCTAAATAATTAGAAATTATGTATTTTTTTTTTTTGCAATTTCCAAATGTTTTTCTCGTGATTTTACTAGATATACGACTATTACTCTTAAATTTAATTTAAAATCTAATTTTGAAATATATTTCTGAAAAATTCAACGTCTGCATAAATATTTTAATATTGAACAAAATAGCGCTTTACGCCCCTTGTAGATTTTATGGGCTATAATCGTTTAAAGTTTGGTCATGTGGAGAAGAGTGGTGGAAAAGTATATAATTTTATCTCTTTGCACATTTTAACTGCCACTTTTAAATTTTAAATATAGTTATAGCTTTTTTAGTAACAAACTATTTTGTACAATATCGAATATTTATAAATCAATAGTGAATGAAGAACATTTTTTGTCATTATTTAAAATATAAATTAAAGATTGTCATTATGTGAAAATAAAAATATAAAACAAAAATGTAATATATCTTTTTAATAATGTAAGTCGAGTACGTTCGATAAAATATATAAAAATATTTATTTATAACATCAGATAATTTAAAATATTAAAAAAGGGAAATGTTCCGAACAATAAAATAACCACTTCAGAATACAGTTGTTAAAAATAAAAATTCTCCCTCCACCAGCAAAAAGCAATCACTAAAATACTCCATTTTTAAATAATAATAATAATAAAATAAAAAATGATTTTAAGTTATTTCTATTTATTATATTTTTTTTCCAATTATAAATCTGATATCCCTCCACAACATGCCTATTCGTCAATAAATTATATTCCCCTTCCGACGTCGCATTTAATATTATCGGTCGTCTGTTTTTTTTTTTTTTCAATAACGGTATCGAACTGAGTCGTAAAATATCAATTTTGCCATAGGAAATCAATATTGTTTGTCGTTTTTAATTTCGAAAGTGCATTCGTCGTCATACGCCATCCGTGCACGTAAAACGTCCACTACAGAGATAACAATGATAATATAAAAAATAGTCTCGGAAACGTCCGCCTTGGTCTGCACACTACCCTTCGCGGCAAGAGTATGCGTCCCACCAATATACCGGCATAATATTATGATTATTATTATAATTGTAATATATGGTAAAATAACTACGTAAAACGTCAGCGGCCGACAGCGATAATAATTGATCATTAAAAACGAACATGGAATTGTTTTCGGAGAACAGTGGTTCTATATTCGCTTCTAGATTATAATCGAGAAAACCCATATAGACACTATACGTGTATACAATATTATTATACTCATACGCAAGAGCACGCATAGCAATAACGACAATGATAACATGGACGGTACTTCGCAGACGGTCGGCGGGCGTATATTAATGTTATGCAATTCGAAAGTTAATCAAAATATTAAACAATATATTTTATAATATACATTATACGTGTATAGTATGGAGGTATGGTTATAACAATGACAATATAATATGCATATTATCCGGAATGCAATATTTGCGCACCTAAAGCCGAGTGTATCTGGCTCGCGGTGCAACGTTGGAATAACGCGGTCGGTTGCGGTGGCATCAGAAGAGAAATCCGTACTTCAGACGGTCCAATAGAATATAGACGGCGATTCCAATTCGATAATATTACATCGTAATAACATGAATGCCGCTGCATGTGTATAGCGATCCCGCCACTGTTTAAGCTCTATAAAATGCAAATTGATGGCGCGCTCGCCAGACCGAATATAAATCGTGTATACCTACAGTGTACCTACAAGTGCACAACGTCGGCGGTTTCGCGGTAAATATTAAACGTTTGTGTGCGCTAATGTACGTGTATTGTGGATACAACGCGTTCGTATGTTGCATGTGCAGCGCGTTTGCACCACTCGACACACGCCGTTTAAATGTTGTTAAATCGATGATATTTAATACCCTCTTTCAGCACTCGGGATGGGGATGGCACGAGGGGGTGCAACTCGGAAATGCCTAAAAATTCACGGCTGAGCCGAGAGTATGCGAGACAAGAAGACATTAAATCGTTTACATTGTTTAAAAGTCGCGATAGGAGGACGTCACATTGTAATATTATATTATTAATAAACGATATCTCTAACTCTTGGTTGGTATTCGTCCGCACCGTTGTTTATCTATACGATATGTATAAACAGCAATCGCACCGGCCGGTATATATTTCATCGATTTCTGAATGTAATAATATATAATAATACAATCTGCTGTGTGGTAACAACTATCTCGGTAAATCAATATTATTGAGAGTTGAGATCTTAATTCACTCGCCTAGGAGTCCCCTTGTTACAATTCAAACCAATAATAATAGTGACCTGTGTCCGGCGAGGTGTCTGTCGATTCTTTTTTCAGCATAGTACTATGCCTCATTCGTACACGCGAACTGATTATATTGTATTGTTCTTACCGTTCCTGTAATAACGGACGGCAAATAATAATGCTTTCAAACAAGATACAACACAGTATACGATTATAGAATGAATTATATTACATATTTGTAGACGTATTTGGCACGTTGTCTTACCGTAAGTTGCCGTAACTTTTTTAATTTGTTAGGTAGTGCAGTTGTACCGTTGGAAATCGTCATGGCGTACATTATAATATATTACGCTATATAATAATTACACCTGAAGTGGAAACGGTTGATAATAATAGTAATTTTATATTATTATTCCGGCGAACTCTACTAGTGAATATTATTATTCGTGGAAACTTTCATCTCGTCGGGGTGCATAAAATATATTTTATTTTGGAAATGTGGTAATTTTCGTCAAAAACTTCAAAACCGTCCACGCGTTTTGCTCGTCCGTCCGTCGCCGCCGCCCTATTACGTTCTCATTCGTTATCCACCAACAAAAGTTTATAATACTTTATGTTCCGTCTGAGTATTGATCTTTGTTACGTTGGATTGGGGTAGGATGATGATTATGAACTGGGGAGGGTTATTGCTAAAGTTAGTTCAAGTGTGTGTGTATGTACAGTTGTTCGGCATTTAAACTTTTCGATGAAAAAATTTCGTCTACATCGAACGGAATATGAATCGTTATGTGAACGAACAGACGCGGAAGAAAATAAAATTTTTGTGTGAAAAGTTTTTAAATCTGTGTTTATGTGTAGTCACATTGTTCCTCAAGTAAACGTTTTGTTTATAATATTATACATTAACAAGAAGAAACGATTGGTCAAATATATAATATTTTTACGGGTTAACTTTAGCGGTGCAGGTGTCGGTGGAAGGGATCGAGTGAAGTTTTAAGTCTACATCGGCAGCGTGGTCAAAATAACGTTCCTCTTGTCACTGATCGTCATAATAATACATAGATGAAGGATTGTGGATAGTGTTTGTTTCGTCGTTGTACGATTTCCAGTCACGCGACCGCGCCTGCTGGACATACGGGGCATACTAACGGGATCCTATATGACAACCCGTTCTAAACAAGACGTTCCAAACGTAGCTAAAAGTCAACAGAAATAGGTAGAACGATAATAGTGTGGAGCATAAATAAATTTGTATAATGTACAAACCGGAGCACTTTGAAAACCACGGTCACAGACTAGGGAAAAGTTATGTTTCGTTCTTTTCTTCGTATCTGCTTCTTTAAAATCAATATTTGTAAAACTAATAATTCACGGAATGTAATATACCATAATATAATGTTTTATAATAACACGAAAACGTGATGAAAATAATCATTTGATTTTCGTTAGCCTACATTGTACTTCATACATCAAAAACCGTTGTGTATGTCTATACTTTATACTGTGGAGGACGCGTGATAACTTATACACACACACACACACCCATCTCTTTATATTAGATAAATATCTGTGTGTATATTTATTTATAACACTGAATAATCTTATACGCAGTGAGATTGTAAAATATTATTAGTGGCGCCAATCTTATAAGCTAAACGTATAAACTTCCCCACCAATGTTATTGGATCCTCCCCAAAAACATTCCTCATCGCAAAATAATGAAAAAAGGGAGTGTAATAATAAATAAAACTATAACTAAATTATTTTGCTTATGTATTTCATATACTATGTAGTTCGTATTATTGCTATACAAATATAAATAAATCAACAGTATAAAATCCATTAAGTAAATTAATATATTATAAAGTTTTATTATTATTAAAAAAAATACAAACAAAAACAAGTTTAGACAATGTTTATAATTTAATTTATTAGTTATTTGTGTAAAAAGAAAAAGTTTTATGGAAATCAAAAACAGAAACGGTTTCATTGTAAACGTAAAATATAAAAAAAAAAATTCAAATAACATTATTAAAACATTATATAAATATAATTTAAAATAGTGCTTTAAACAAAAATTAAAAATAATGTTGAGTTACATAAATAAAATATAAGTTTTATTATTTTGTAAAAAAATAAATGAAATAACTTTAATGTGCATTATTAATTTAATGAACTGAATATCGAATAGTTAAATTAGTTTTATTATCTAAGTAATACAAACAAAATAAATTACGCAGAGTATTTTTAGTGGACATTATAGTCATTTTTATTGTTCAAATACATGCGATATTAACATCAATAGGATTTAGTGTGCCAGAACGTCCGGGTCTTAGTCATAAACTTCGGAACCCTAATAATTAAAAATGTATTTCAATTTTCAACCAATCTAGAATCACTATTACTTATTATACTTTGAACTGAATATAAATTAAATAAATCAATAATGTTCGTCTCTTTTTATATGGGAGTTTAATCCTGTCAAGTTCAATAGTATAAAAATTTAATTAAAAATAAAAATAAAAAATTGATCATGTACCACGATTGACTAACTGTCCAGAGCATAATTGAATCGGATTTTTATTTTCGTAATAATTCTTGCCATAGAATATAATTAATCTAGACGGCGATAAAGCTAAAACACAATATTTTCGCCACCTTGCAGTTAAGAAAAAAAAAAAAAAAACATTGTCGAAGCTGCGTTGTTTTTTCCAATCGGTCTGACAATTATTTCATCTAATGCGTGGAACCGCGCATGTTTTATGATATTTAGTAAATAGAATGTTACATTATAAGATATTGTTATTACTTATTAATATTATTATTTTGAGGATATTTTTTACTATGATAAAGTATATTATACTAATATATCATTTTATTTTTCCAGACCAGTATCTGCTTATGCGCTTTTTTTCCGGGACACCCAAGCGGCAATCAAAGGTAAAAATCCTAATGCTAGTTTCGGCGAAGTGTCCAAGATCGTAGCGTCCATGTGGGATTCGTTAGACGCAGATCACAAAAATGTAAGTATACCATAATTAATACCTACTGTATTTCATTTTATTGCTGTAGTTATATAACGGCCGAATAATTATCATATTATTAATACCTACCTACTACAAAGATGATTGGGTGACACGGTATTATGATTACTTATAAATTATGATGTGATATGAAAATAATATTTTACAACGAAATATAAGTATATCAATTTAGAATAACGTTTGTTCCTTTGAATTGCCATACTAAATGAAATATTGTTTCTGTGCGACTGACGGATTAAAGTCCTTTTTATTATCAATTCTTTCTCTTGTCAAGCTCGCTAGCTCGCAAAAATTTTCTCTTATTATTTATATTGGCAAAGGGAAACATTTTAAAGAGAAGAAAAGCACCCTTCACATTCTTCCGTTGTTCTACTTCGTTTTTCACAGCTACACAATCTATACGAATGAAAAATAGTAATCCATTTTTAGGAGTGCCCTCAGTCAGTTCGAACACATTAATAAAACCAAATACTGTAAAGAGAAAAACAGAAAGAGACGGAAGGACTGTAACTGGGTGGCGGTGTAGAAGTGATGGCAGGGACGGATGGAGAAGTTATTTTCTTTCCATATAGAATAAATAATCTCGGAGCTGATGTTATGAAAATATAGGTTGAACGGGTAGTGTTGATGATGCGGGTCGGCGGAGAAGTAATTTCTAAAGCTTTTTCACTTGTAAATTTGTACACTGAGGTATATTTGCGTACACATAGTACCTACGGGTAAAAAAAAAAAAATGCCACTGAAAACATGGTAAATAATAATAATAACAACAACAACAACGGGACGGCGGCGGGAGAAATATATTTTTGGCGAACTCTAGTAACCAGTTCTTTGGACACGAATCGAAATACCCTATTATTATTTTATAGTTTATTTATAATAATAAAAATAACGTACACAAAACAAATTTGTTGAATAGAAACCCCAGACGTGATTAATTGAACATCGATATTATTGTGTAAGCGTAAAAAATATAAATTACGTGTGTATAACGGAACTTAATGAAAAACGCTATTAATTTGACGTACGTCTTGTACACAGTGTATGTTTAAAACGTAACTGTGCGGTGATATATTAGCCTAAATATCACGTTAAAGCGTTGTACAACAAAGCTTTTTCGAGAAACATTATTATAACAGTGTGTCTAAAACGAAAATACGTTATTAAAACGCGTCGTCATAAATAATTTAAATTTGTCGGAGAAGAGATTTCCGAAAATGCTAATATTAATTTCCCTCCCCTTCCCACCAACATTGTTTTAGACGTGTCCCGTCGGTACTACGTTCATTGTTTCAAAAATACAATGTCTTATTTGATGTCTCAGTGTATTCACTGCTGGCGGGTCTGTGCACTTCGTCATATTTTTCCGAGTAAACATTCCCCGATCTCCGTGAAAATATTGGTTTGAGTTGTGTATACTATTAATTTCTTCGACTGTAACAACCATATATATATATATATATATGTCTGTTAACAAGCACCACACTAAATCCGTTGTTGTATCGTGTAACATCATGGAGAAAATCAAATGGAAAACTTTAAATTTGCCAGGAATCCGCGTATCTATAAGGAAAGAGATACTAACGAAACGAAACAGTTTGCACGTGCTCATAAAATATTACCAATCATTACGCACACACGTTTGATTTACTTTTCGCTCACGGAATTACAAAAAAAATCTATTTCCAAGCAGTAGGTACTGTTGTAGTTTTATAATAATATATTATGTTTTCGAGTTTAAACAGAAATAATATCATTAAAATATTGTGTGCATTTATCTATTTTATAGTTTAAGTGACAAATGTCTACAAAAGTATGCACAACTAACGGTTTTCGATTTACAAACAAGCAGAACGACTAATAATAATATTCTAGGGCAGTACAAGTACCTATATTATTATGTAAAATATGGTGGTTATGGCCAGTTAGTAAATTAAGTACACTGAACTCGAATAATAATAATATAACAAAATAAAATTCTTAAATTATATTATGTGCATACATAATACATTATAATATTTTAATGTTGTATTAAATGGGTTGTTAGGATTTATAATACTGACAAAACAAAATGTTAATAACAGTAAAATACTAAGTGCAGTACTTTCACAAATCTGCTGACCCGATTCTCATGATTCATAGGCCCATGTGTATATTATATATGTATTCTAATTAGATCGAGAGAAATCTACAAGAAACTTCCGGGATAAATCAATTTCTGGTTCCTTATTATTTTGTTATATATATATATATATATATATATATATATATATTGTTTTGAAAATCATGGTGTTACGTAAAAACAATAAAAAAAAATTCAAAACATTTTTAACTGCCACTTATTAGTTATTATGATAACAGTAATAGTATTAATGTCGAAGAATACTATCGAGTAGAGAGGTGGTCTTATATTTAGTCGAAACTGTTATCGTTAAATTCGGCTTTGTGATAAACTGTCAGAACGCGGAAAACAGACATGTAGTAAAATCAACAAACTGTCGTTAATATTTGTAAATCCCGTTGGAGCTAACTACGAGTTTATTATACAGTTTTATGTGAAATGCCCATAAAAAACTTTCTAAAACAAATTAATGCTCGCAAACCCAATAGAACTATCAAAGTCATCTATAAGAAATTATGGCTACTGACTACAAATTGACATTTTCTCTGACCGTAATAAATCGATATCGAGGTAAATCAAAACTCTTAGCGTGCTATTAGCTCGCTGAAAATATGTCATAGAGCAAATTAAGAATTTATTGCGTTTATTGGTTATTGAAATGTATTAATATAATAAATAGACGGTAATGTGTTTCATTATCAAATGGTTTAAATCGGTTTTTTCCGAATGCCATCGTAAAGACCAATACACAATCTATCGGAGGTCACTCGTAAAACGTTTTATTACTCTGCCATAATATGTGTTATTTTTGACGTGGTGCATTAGCGTTTACGATAAATTATGTTTGGCCGTTTCCATTTTGATAGAAATAAAAATATAAGAAAAACCAACAAAGTAGAAGCGTAATAACTAATAAGTAATAATGCTACAACACGACCTTTATAACTATAACACTATGTTGACTATGACGACTTGGTTAATTATAATTATTCTCTTTTCTTATTCCTTTATTTATGTGTGTAATTGTTTTATTCCTATATTTAGGATCGTAACAAAATTGCACGATCATGTGAGAACATAATAGGTATTATGTTGAGAGTTTGTGAATCTTGAGGAGGAGTGGCGTAAATTTCAAATATCTTGACATGACATTTTGATGTATACGAAAATTGAATTTATTGAAAAATGAACCCGTGTTTTTGAGGCACTGTAGACGTGGAGAGAATAGGAATTCAATTTCGTCACTACCCTGAGTTGTAGTAATAATTTGGTTATTTTTAATGCGGATCCCTTTTGAAACGCAACGTACAAATTCATAATAATTAAATGCAAAGTTTGCTTTTGCTGTAACAATAGAAAGAAATGAGGTGAACTCATTGAATGGGACACCAATGGGGGCTGCTGCGTTTAAAAGCGATTTAAATCAATAATGTTTAAATTAGAAACTTTGCTCGACACCACCCTACTAAAGTCTGCGTTCCCGCCTACCACTGCCGATTTTGCATCATCTGGCACACACCTCACATGTTGTACACAAGGGAATGGACTTTGTGCAAATCGCCTGTCTGAAATGTGATTATTAAACAAGAAAAAGGGACCCATACAATAAAGCGCGAACGAATGTTTGTGACACATAAACGTGATTCTATTTAAATAGGTACGAACGTATAACAACGATAAATAAAAACTAATTTTAATTTAAGACATCAATTTTGAAAAACAAAGCAAATTAATAAGTAAAAATTATTCTTGAAAATGAAAACATTTATGAACTTCAATTTTAAATACTTCGTTAATTAATTTGTACTTTGATAAGTATTCTTTTACCATAATAAATAACATTATTATGTTTTGTTATTTGAAAATTGTATTTTTGTTATATTCCTTTTTGATATAGGTAAGCTAATGTTCTGAACAAAATAAGTTGGTTTAAATAACGTTTGATTATAAAAATTTAATTGAATGCTTTAGAAGATTAATGATTATTTTTCGGAAATATTTTACATAACGGTTATTGACCTTAACGTTTGATTAGTAAACTTTCCAATTTTCAACGATAATTAAAAAATTATGTATCGAAAAGAATGTGAATGGCGCGTCAAAGAACACGAATGTACAAAATAATAATTATAATTTCTAACTACGCAAATTATTGTCTATTCGGTAAAAAAAAAAAAATATGTCTTATTCATAGGTTAATGGTATAACTGTTTTATGACTTGAGATTATTTATTTTCGCGTTTATGTCAGAACGACAAATCTTTGATGTTTTAAAAAATATATTAAGTTTAATCTTTATAATGATTGCAGGTTTACAAGAAGAAAACAGAAGCCGCTAAAAAGGATTACTTAAAGGCCCTGGCTGCATACAGAGCGAGTCTCGTATCGAAGGTAATATTCAATATACAATATCATTAAATCCTGTGAACAATGTAATATTATAATGTTGTTATTTCATTATGCGTGGTAGATTCATTTTATTTACAATATTATGTTATACGCTATTCGATAACTTTTACAAACGAAAACTTTTTCGGAAAATAGTATTCAAAATTATTAATAGTCGAGTTTTATCGTGTTATTTTTATCGATCGTCGGACGTGTGTAAGTATAGTAGATAATGGCGGTGGTGGTGGTGATTCTCGAACAGGCGGAAAACTTATCGACCACCATCCTAGCCCGACAAAGAAGTTTGTAAAGTCTATCTAGGCTCGGGCGCGTGCGAGAGTAGAAAATTTATATCGTAAATTTACATGAACGGGAACGGTGAGAGGGAGACCAAATAACCATAAATAATAATACATAATAACAATATGATTTAAAACGCATCCACGACTAAATTCTCTCTGTAATATTAATACAACATATACATATTTGTATGTGTTTTGTGTGCTGTGACTTATGGCTTTTATAACGACTCGTACTTAAATACGCTGGTAACGTTTGCAGGGAGGTGAACCGGACTCGAGCATGTACGCTGGAGGGTATGTGGGCAGTTACGGAGGCGTGTACAACGGATATTCACCGCCGGCAGGACTTCCATCGCCACCCATGTCCGTGCCGTCGCCGCACTCGCAAGTTCACGGTCAAGTTAAGAAGTCCGCTATGATGATGGACAATCGGGTCCCGGTGATGAATAGCCACCCGCAAAACCACAACCAATCGGTAAGTTTACAAACGGTGACGCAAACATAAATGTTCCTGCGTTTAGGGGATGACGGGTGGTCATGGGGGTGTTTATTTGTACCGAACATAATTTTTTACCCGGTCCGAGTATACTCAAATACGCATTTACATACGATCAAAATGTTGTCGTCATAATATTCACGGATTCGATTATACTTTATTATGTGGTATAGAAGTGGTTTAGACGGTTAGGTCGGGTCAGGTCGGGTACGAGGTGATTTCCAGTTGCCAACTGCATATAATATAATATTGTCAGTTATGAACATTTGATCTTGATTCTATATACTTAACATTACATGTCAATAGTATTTGCCTCTTATGATTTAAATTTTAAACATTTGGTTAAAATATGAAATCATAGGAGGTCTATTCTGAAAATAACTTTAAAAAAACTCGCACGAATAATATTAAACTTTAAACAGATGTTATTGGTCACAATCCAAATTTAATAATTTTTAATGAGTTGAAAAACGGCAGTATAGGACTATTGAAAACTTCAAAGACCACTAAATTATTATAATTCTAGACAACGTCTTGTGATGCTTTTAAATATATTTATATACGTATATATAATTTGTTCATTTGTTGTATCATCATGGTCGCATATAGTGGTATTATTAATATGTAAATAATATATATTTATAATGATTTAAACTTAATGGCACTCTTATAAGCGGATTCGTCTAACGAGACGATTGCTATTAATAAATAAACATTAAACATTGTCAGTACCTACATTACTCGTATGAACTAAATATATTATGAAACACAAGTACCGCGATTTTAAAATAGTGGACAAAGTATGTCTAAACATGTTAATATATTAAATACGTGTTGCATAGAATTTTGACGTTGGTCGTATTTAATCTGTTTAATAATGTAATATAATCGTTTGTCTAAATATTTTATTAAAAAACACACAGTGCATTTTAAGTGATATGGACGACAGTAATGTTATGTTTAATATCCAATTAAAGAAAATAATTATTCTGAAAAATCAAAGTACTGAAATCTAAAAAAAAAATATTTACCTCTGATAATAAATTATCGAGTGTATCCATATTATTACGATTAGCTACAATACATCTTAGTAATTACCTATATGGCTATATTCGTTTGCAGGGTTATGGTAAAACTTGTATTTTATGAATTATAATTACAGAAGTATGAGCACTTTAAAAGTTTAAAAAGTTTAAATGTGTATATCAACTATTATGTAAATGAAAAGTAGACGCAACAAATAGTAATTCACATATTTATAACTAAATTTTCTTACTAACTATTGAGTAGATATGAAAATGATATACGAGTTTAATATATTAATATAGTTATTAGACATATTCTTGTCTCGTATCGTTTTAAATGTTTATTTATTTTTAAATTATTTACGTGATAATTTTATGATATTATTTAAAGAAACGTTTTAGATTTATGCAGAGAGTCAGTTGTCCAATAATATTTCCGTTTTTAGTGTTATAAAATCGTGTAAAATTTTTTATTTGTTCAAATATTTCGGTAATAAATTATCCAAAGTATAACAATTGTTTCCGAACCACCAAAAAAAGATTTATTCAGCGTCGAATCGCACAATGCACTATCGTTGCTGTACAACTTTCTTGCGTAGGGTTGTTGGTATGTGGGGAACGGGATGACATGTTCGACCTGTCATCCCGAATGGTAACCTAACCTAACGGCGTGACTCCACCGTGTGCAGTATGTCATAATTAAATTATGTTGTATATTTATTTTGCTATTTTTCTTTCCTATTTCCAGCAACAGACAGCTGGTCTGATTGGCAGCCACAACCAGGTCGCGCCCGGACTGAACCATTTGTCGCAGCATCCCCAGGGTGGACTTCCCCCATCGCCGCAACAGTCACAGCCCCCGACGCCACCGGCTAATGTTTCGTCATACGTGAGTATCTCATATGTTAAATTTACATCTATTATCCGAGTATACACCTAAACATAATATTATTAAAAACCTTCGTTGCTGGCAAGAAACAATTATTGGTATTGTTTGCGTGATGCTCATCAGAAATATGCTGTATAATGCCTTCGTGATTTTCAAAGGTTGAAGGATGTGCGGGTGAAAATATTTTGAAACTGTGATGGTTTCTGTGTGTGTGTGTGTGTGTGGGTGGGGTAAGAAAGATATGTTTGTCACACGTGTTATAAATAGTTATCAATAGGTGTGAACCAGTAGAACTGTAACAAGTGTATTAACCACCGACGATCAGAATAAGATCAGGTTTAATAATATAATATTATTATGTATAGTAAACGAATATGAGATATTATACATTATTTTTCTGGATGGCCGTACGATTTATTAGGTATTTCTTACGCAATGAGTTGGCTCGTACATCACGGCACGTTATGAGGATGTACGAGTGATTGATAATGATCAATGGTGGTTCCAATGGGGAATGTTATAATCTTTTCCCCGATAAGGGTACAATGAATAATACCGGCCGAGATGACGTATAAAAATATCGGGTTCGATGATTTATTGGATTAATGACGAGAATATTCAAGAAGCGCATTTCTGTTTATTCATATCGTGACAGACATTGCAGCAGTTTCCGATACGATATTCCACCCGGACAATAAGTCATTTTTCTGCGAAACGCTTAAATATTATTTCGGTGTTCGGTGTTAATAAGCGCTTAGATTTTCTTAAACACCCTTTATTAAAGGACTTTCAAAATGTTTATCAATGGAAAAACGCTAGTGCAATAATAATAATAATAATAATAATAATAATACAGGTTTTCCTTCGAATTTTGTAATGTATTCCACTCGAATGCTTCGTCGTAGTTACTTCTTATCTGCACACCCGTAATCGTCTTGCTGAACTACGGCTTTCCTGATAAAGTGACATTTTTATAATGCGACGAACACATTATCGCTAAAATTATTAGTGGCGGGAAACGGTCGTTTTAAAATGCATAATTTAGGGACTATTTAATCGGCCGAGCTTGATCTCGTTTTGTACAATATTAATATTATACATTATTAAAATCTCGTGAAAAATGTCTCGCGTGCCAGACGTTATAATAAATATAAAATAGCGATGTTTAAATGTCGTTACGTACAAGAAAAATAAAAGTAAATAACGTATACTTAAATTCGTGTTTGAGCTGCAACAATATTTCATTGTTATAATATGATGTACAAGTTTTGTTGTGTAGGGTCTGCACAGAGTCCGCGCGAGACGGTCGCCATGTAAAAATGTATACATAATATTATATTGATCTATGTACGCAGATATAGTACTTTAATAAGTAGAGGGGACCCGGGCACAGTAATTGAATTCCCGTTTGTTTGTTGTCGGATAAAATCAATACGAATGTAATTATGTACACAATTTTCGTTTTTAATTTAAAGCCCACTCGTATAAATATAATATAATATATACATCGCAGAGTACCGTCTGCGTTTTCCGTCTATTCTATGATGTATTATAAAATGTGTGGCATACGGCAATCAACAATAACGATTATACATCAAATAGATTTTCGTTTATTAACTTTGATCTGCGTCCTAATTTGATTTGTAGCAAATGATTCAACTCTACAGCTGTCCCGAGTATATTCTTCATCGCTGTCTATTGTCAATATATTATAATAGTAGTGAAACGGTTTTTTGATGGATTTGAATAGCGCGTAGGAAAAAGTCTATGAATTGACAAACAAACTATGTGAAACCACTAGATGTGAACCACCTCCCACAACAATAGTGGGACATAGGTCCAATCACATCATCACTGAGGCCTATATTAATGTATTTTTTGTTATCGTTTTTCAGTGGCCGTGGTGTTTCAATCCGACGCAAAACAGCCATTAGCCGGTGTCTCGCCGACACCAGCTCAGTAGCAGTCGATCGACGTGTGCATACGAAACGAATGCGGCAACGACGACGTATGTCTCGCACCGGATGCCGGATGGGACAACGAATATAATCGCAGTTACGAGTGTCGGCACCAACACTGAAAGTAAGTTTGAATCAATGTCGCGCAGTGGCAGAATACGTGGCGACGAACGCGCGTACCTATATGACTTCGGCGGTGGTAAATTTCGTATTTATTTCCGTTATTGTCGTCGTTTATGGTGTTCAGTTAGTGTTTGAGATTTCGAGATAAATCTAGCGGTTACGCCGTTAAAAAGTGCACGATTTTAAAAACCGATTGAAAAGCGTCGACGAATGTCTTACGCGAGGTCGTTATTGCAGCGATTTCATCTTTTACTGTTCTATAATATCACTCTGCAATATAAAGACGAAGACAGTCGTTGTGTAAAAGCTTTAAATTTTCTAAACTTAACAGTCAATTTCTGGAAATTCATAGTTTGTGATTGCCGTGCCGTGCAATGGTCTGTTATGTTAGGTACCTAATATAATAGTACCTATTATGTAACCTATTAGGTATATTGGTTTAAATAGGTCTGCTATAGGTTACATTTTTGGCGGTCGGGTGCTAACGTCGAACAGGAAAATAAAGAAATAGACGCGTTTACATCATTAAATAGCTGCCTTCACTCACTCTCTTTTAAACAAAAAAGTCAGTTACATATTTATGCCATCGGATGAAAATTTGACGATTAGTACCCAATGAATAATTAGTAATAATTATTAACTTGTCACCATTTTACGTATCACGAAGATGTCTGATTTCATCTTGTTCGAATATCACTCTCCACAGTCTCCACAGTTGTCGGCGAGCTTTTAGCTTATAATGCAATATTAATATGATTATTTTCTAATAACATTTATTTTTACAGGATTACGGTAAACGATTGATCTTATAGGTGCTTAAGAGGCCATAAACGAAACGCCCAAAGTCGATTATCCTCATCGTCCTCTTCCGGAAAATAAGAAGACCTGAAGACCGCTATCTGTCCCATGTACATTATACGATTATTATTATATTAATTATATTGTATTATATTATTATTATTATTATTATTATTATTACTGATATTATAATTATTATTACGTATGTAAATCCATGTGACTACGAGTATCTCATATTATAATGCTTGTGAATATTTATATTTATAAGAAAAAATAATATGATAATTCATAATGTTATATTTAACGTACTACAATATGATATTATTATTACTACATACATAAATATAATATACTGTAGTTTGTACATATATATTTTTTTTCGTTGCAATAATATCATTGAATCATAATGAATGTAAATAAGAATGTCGTATTTAAGCAATAAATTTGCTCCTGTAAATGTAAGCAATGTCTCCTGCGACAATCCCAATGCTGTTTTTGTGCACATAATAAATATAAACATAATATTATTAATATTGTTAAAATGAACTACTATTTTTTAACGTTTAAACCGTTTTCTTTTTTTTTTTATGTTAAAAGCATTAAGTTTTTTTTTTTTTAATGTAAATAATATTTACAATTTTGTTTTGTATTATATATTAAATATAATACAATATGACCTAAACCGTACAAGCGATATGAAAAAGTTGACGTTAGTCTTGTCTTAAATATTATTATTTACCATAAAATCCTTGGTAACTAGTACCATGGTTCATAAAGTATTTATGTCAATCCGACACTGTAAATTGTCACGTGTTTAAGTTATAAAGTGTTATGATACCTACTAAAGGACATTTAAAATTTAAAAAAGTAATAGCTAGGTACTCATATCATTGTGAAATTATATTATTTTTTATTCAAGTATTAACATTATTGTCTAATATTTATTTTTGTTTTATTTTTATTTTATTATTTAGCCAAATTGAAAATTTTAAAGTTGTTATTATACTGAATATTTTTTCTCTTTTGTTTATTTTTTAAGTAGGTATGATTTTATACTTTGTACATAAATGATTAAGAACGCTCATGTTATCTGTTGTTTTTTAATCTGTTTATATAGTATATTAATAAAATGTAAACGATTAAAAATGAAAAATAAAAAATGTAATTAAATAGTAGAAAATACCTCCTAGTTTTGTAATTTAATTATTAGAATCAGTTGTAACTGATTCGTTATTGTTTTATTTTTTACAAACAATGGTCTCAATGACTAGATACTATTTAATATTTATTATTATTATAATATAATGATTACACTTGAGGTAATATAATAATTTATCTATGGATATGTTGAATTATGTGTTAAATAAGTGCTTACAACCAAAATTCATTCCTGATAAATCATTAATTTTTAAATAGTAAGAATTGAGTGGTTTAAAACGATCAGATGTTTTTTTACATTATGAGCACATTATAATATGATCAACATTTTTCAATAAATCTTAATTAGTCATAGGAGTTTTTAAGAATAAATCAGAATAAATTATATACAAATAAATTTAAGGAAATCAAAAATATATTTTATGCTACTTGTAATATAATATTCTTATCTTAAGGTATGATTTGTAAGACTTCATGATCTGTCAAAAGTGGACTTTTATGGTTACAAAAATATTTGTTAGCGTTCCCAAAATTGTGCCCAATTTCTGTTGATTATTTATACATTTGATTTATAACTTTTGAAAAACTATTGTTGTGTAAGCCTACACAATTAGTCTTTTTACAATTTCTTCAACTTTCAAACTGCATTTGATGTTTACTATTTCATAAAATCAATACATGAATATATGACTATCAGTAAAATAATTAAGACTTTATTGGTAGTAAATCTTAATTTTGAATCATTTTAGTTTGAATTCAATAATAGCCCATCATTCTTAATCGGCACTCTTCTGATAAGAATTTTGAATTTTTTCGTATCATCAGGATTATTTTTTCATTATTTCAAAAGACTATTTACTCAAATGTTTATTTATTACTCATTCAAACATAATAGGGATATAGCATTACGCATTAAAATAATTTCCTTTCAAGTACTCTTGACAAAAGGAGCTTTTAGCTCTTTTAAAACGATCACATGAACTAACTTATATAAAATGCATATGAGATTCATATCTATAACAAAAAAAATAAATAAATAAATAAATGAATACAATTTAAACGACATTAAATATTATAGTAGGTATAAAATAACATGTACATGGTGTGAGGTTATATAAATTCTATTTTGAAAGTAGATATTAAGATTCAACTACTATTTCAGAGTTTAAATTCCTCATTAGTTTTAAACATTGTGAGGTATTACCTCCTATGTTTTAAACCAAATTTACTTTATAATAATGATAATAATAATGATGATAATGATGATGATTATGATGATAATAATAATAATGAGATTTTCGTCTTTGTTGAATGTCTTTTGTTATAGAAACTATTGTTAGTTTCCCAAAACAGTATTTAGGTTTTTGTACTTATGATTTTCAAAGATTGTTTTATAACAAATAATAAGCAGTTTCATTTTGTTTTAGTAGATTATTAGGTACCTTCCATATTGTAATTATTTATTGTTGTTCAATTTTTAATTAAAACTACATTTTTAAATTAAAGTTTTGGTATGGATAACAAGTTGTATACTTATATATTTTTTAAATTTAATTTAATCACAATAATTATAAAACATAATTTTAATTTTCTAAAATATTAATATAAGTAATTAGTTCATACATCGTAGGTTGTATGGATGTAGGCTGTAACCGTTAAATTCAAGCATGCGGTCGAATGTAGAATTAGCACGGCCGTCGTAACTTTGCGTATAGACACCGACTATTTACAAATTATATTATGATACTACTGCCAGGACTCTGCTAGTTACTTTAGGTTAAACATAACTCAATGTAATAATAAATTTAGTGGTGGCGCGAAATGGATTTTTTTGAGACAATTGTCTCAATACTAAAATGTGGTGAGGTTAATCTAACCTTATAGATACTGTTATAGGTAATGCGTATTTTTTATTTATTTATGATATTCTATAATTGTAGTTTAGATTAGAATTTAGATAATAATTAATAATGATAAAGTATTTTTATCAATACAAATTAAAATATCAGCTTCGATTGGTTATTACTTTTTATCAAGACTCGCTGTTAGATTTAAATACCTGAAGGACAATAAAAAATCTAGTATAAGAAGACTAATCCTGATTTTAAAAATGTATAAAAAACAGTTATATGATTAAACGATTGTACAATCGCCACATTAATATTAGTAGTTCAGCTAGTTGTTATTTAAATACGTACGATGTACAATACCTCATAGCTTGTAAAATCATGCATCGTGTACATAATGTACATATACTTCATAAGCAATTGATTATTATAATGTAAATAATTAATTTAAAAAATCTGATATAACTGCATCAATATTATAAATATAATGTCTAAAGAACCACTATCGACAAGAAAAATGCGTTAATTTTTTTTTAAAAATATAATTAAATATATAATTATATTGTATAGTAGAAGCTGTATATCGTAGTATGTATATATATATATATATTTTTTTTTAATTTAATAAATGATTAACTTTGATTCAATTAATTAATGATTAATCATTTGATTTTTTAGAGATTACAAAGATAATAGGCTTGAATTAAAAAAAAAAACTCATTTTACGTTACTAACAATTATTAAAACGTTGCACAATTTTTACGTTATTCAATATTAAAACGTTTATTTAACATTTTCATTTATCGTTATTCAATACTAAAACGTTATTCAACATTTGCATTTTTATTCTGAATAGACTATAGAAGGTACAAATGTACAATATTATCAGGTCATCACTAATCGTTATTAATATTATTATTATTATTATTAGTTATAGTCAATAACGTTTTGCGTATGTTTTGTTTAATGATAATATATCATAATATATTTTGTTAATCGTTATATTTTGTTTTGTGTTATTTAATTATTTATGTTTATCATTTTCCTTTATAATTACGTTTACAAATTTCAATTGTTGTTTTGTCAAATACAACGCTATAACTATAACGTTGTTTTCAAGCTCTGAGCATAAGTATGAAAATTGTATAAATGGATATAAATTTAAAGAACTTTGATACAATATAAAAAAAAAAAAAAAAAAAAAAAAAATGGAAAGTGGTTTAAGTGTATCTATAGGTAAATGCATTAAAATAATAAAAATACGTTCTAATTCAAATTATAGACTATAATCTATGACAATTTGTTATCCCGAAAATTAAAAACGAGTAAATTTTAAAAATATGGTAGATATTACTCAGTAGATGTCAAATCGTTTGACTTGAATGAATATCGATATTCAGTTAGTCATTGTTATAAATCTGCTCAATTTTAATTAAATGATAAATAATTGCATAATTTACTATTATTTAATCAAAATAATTTTCAGCTTATGTGACTAAGTATATTTTATGATATATTTAAATTATTACTATAGAAATTTATTTTAAAATTAATTTAACACATTTTAGTAGAATTAAATTTATTATATTAACAGTATTTATTATTTTAAACAAATTGTATAGATGCAAAGTAACTAGTTTTTTAGTTAAAAATGTAAATAAATTACAAATTACAAATTCCTATAGAATTAAACTAAATATTTTGAAGATGCCATTAAGTGTAGAAAATGATAATTTAGATAATATTGGAATGTTTCAAATTTCTGAAATTTATATTTTAAGAGTTAAAATAAAATATAAAAACTGTTTAATGAGTCAAGGTCCTCAAAATCTTAACTTAAGTTGTTCGGAGAAAAATAATTGTGCAAATATAATCAGTATTTTTTTTTTTTTAACTTTTGTATGGAAATAAATGAAAAATCTTGTGTTAAGTTTTCAAACTTTGATTTAAATTTAAAAAATGTAATAAATGTTTAACTTGAAAATAATTTGCAAATTTTCATGTTTTGAATGGACAAATTTAAACTTATAAACATTTTGAATGCTTATAAAAAAACTTTCATTGTTATATATTTTTGATAGGTACTTTTTATTTTCTATAAGAACAACTTACGTGGAGCCTATTATTTTATTTACTAAGTTTTTACACACGAGTACAAATTAAAATAATTAAATTATACACAAGTCGGAAAAAAATGTATTAATAAGAAATAATAATAAGATAGCTTTTGCAAATTAATATTTCTATAATATTTCTGGTTATTTAAAGAATTTAAACAATTACAGTTTTAAAT